CGGCATACAGGAGTGCTTTAAAAACTAATAATTTGTTGATTGCCTTTATCTCCAAAATTGAAACCAAACTAAAATATATTGTGATAAAAATATTAAATATTGATCTATGAATATTTTCTTCGAAACCAATCTAAAAAAAAAATTTTTAAATAAAAAATTCTTAATATTGTTTAAAAAATATTATTATTGCAGCAGTGGACTAGTGAAGTAAAACTGGAGGACACTGATTCATAAACTAATAAGAACCCTAACTATAAAACAGGGATCAACACTCCTCACTTAAACAAACATCAAAAAATCTACAAAAAAAATTCAAATATTTTAAAAACTTTTTTATTGAACAGCATTTTTTTTTCTGAATTAAGCTTGATGATCAGACTGGAAGGAATCAGTTTTTTGGCACCAGTAAAGCTTTATCACTTTAGACTTCAGAGGTTATTTTAAAAGTAAAAACGTACGTTATTACCATCAAAGAACTTCTTAAATTGAAATTATCACAGTGGCAATGCTTTTTACGTTACTTCTCTGAGTGTTGCTTAACCCTTTAAAGGCGGGGGTCTGAATCTATGCCCCCCCCCCACGAGGACTTAACGGTTCTGTCAAAATTTCAGAAAGCAGTGACTTTCGATCACAATTTGACCCATTATACATTAATTTTTAGCCTTTTTTAAATACTTTTTTGTAGGCAAATATATTTTGAATGAAAAAGTATAGAATAAAAAAAACTGTAAGTTTAAAGATTGTTGAAGTATAGACCAAGACACGTTTGATTTCAAATAAAAGAAACCAAATGCTTCTCACTCTAGTCAGTCCGGGGTGCCCCCTCCCCCAGATAAAAAGCCGTAGAAAAAAACCTTGTAACTTTAATATTCTATATACTGCAAGGGAGGTTTAAAAACGAATATAGATTTCATAAATTCATTTTCTTCAATTATTTCTAAGATCCGAATATTAAAATAAATTGAATTAATAAATACAAAGATTAAATAAAATAGCAGTAAATTAGAAAGCAACATTTGTAAAAATAATAAAATAAATATATATATATATTTGTATGATGTACCATTAAGCTATAAATTCCTCTTCTCATCATTAATCGCCTCCTACCTCCTATCACTCCCCTCCTCCACCTCCTTCTTAACAGGCACCTGAACAGTTTTATCAAAAATGCGTCAAAATCCTTGTTTCAGCTTTTAGCTGTAATTTGCTCTATTTTTAGATTTCAAGTTATCATTGTTTAGTGAAAAAGAATATTTTGATAAAACTAAACCCAGCATTTTTTTCAATTAAGAATAATAAATCAATCAAATGATAATCCCGGCCCCACCAATTACTCCAGGGCAATAAATAACTCACATCCAATATTTTTGCGACCAAGAATTGATAGTTTTCCGTTAATCATAAACATGGATTTAGTCAAAGAGAATATACATATATTAGAGTGGAATTTACTAGAAAAAAGTGCAAAACGGCCATTTTGTTGTACTGTTTCCATACGGCAGGTGCACTTCACATGTTTGTGCTATTTAACCTTTTGGGCCCTGGAACATCATTTTACAGAAAATCTAAAATTAATATTAGAAGAAAACCGAATTATGAAATAGGCTGGTTTCATAATTGATCAATGATCATTTCACATAGACCCTATGACTCTATGCCTTTTACTTTACAAACGATGATTTTCTGCTATAAATATAAATAAAATTACGTTTTTTAATCACCTAATTCATCTTATAAAGTTTATTTAACACCTTTAAAAAATTCGAAATTGAAGAACATATGGTATTAATGTACTCTACTGCATGTAATTTGTGAACATTCACATGATTTGTACACTTTGAACTCCCTTTTAGGCTGAAAGAGGCTGGCAAAATTCATAATGTGGGATTTTTTAAATTCCACTCTAATATATATTCTATTCTTTTTTGGATTTTACAACGTATATTCTGTTTTCTAAATTTGATAGTATAATATCTATTTTCTGCGACATGGACAGAAAGTAAATATTAATATGTTATAACCCTATCCAGATCAAATGGGCAATTATTTTCTAATGTATAGATAAGGGGTCCCCCCCCTCAACCCCTCATGATTTGAGATAGGGAAGTGTAATACATGTCCCTAGTCAAACATTTCATGGCTTCACGTACCTCTGCCTCTTTAGTAAAAGTAAATTCAACATGTATGTAGCATAAAGTCTGACCGCGTCAACCTTGTTGCATAGGCTAGTCCTATTGTTTGTCTGCTACATTAACCCAACCCAATGTCCTTGCAGTACAGTACAAACTGGGACCAGAAAGGTTGGCCCGGCTCGGAAATTCAAATGTACTACGACTGCCCGTGACTTGCTCATTAGAGAAATTTGTTTAGCTAAATTTGTTCACAACTATGAAGTTGAACAAGTGAAGAAGCTTGAGAATTCTAGTATAATAAGCCGTTCTTAAGTTTATACCAAAAAAAAGTGAAAGGGTCAAAAATAATCATTAGCTTGAAAATCAAATGATCCAAAAATCGTTTCTGTCGTTAATCCCCACTCTACAAATCTCCGGTGACTTAAAATTACGTCTAAGGTTCTTGTAAATAGAACATAAAACTATATCCACATCTATATATTTAGTTTGTCTGTTGTTTTTTATTCGATTTTTAGAATTTGGAAATCCACCAATGAAAACGGAAAAATATGCGAAATTTTCATTATTTCAAATGCAAACAAAAACGGTGTCATTTCGAAATTGGGATATAATAGGTTATATGGCATAATTATGTGAAGTACACCTGCAGTATGGAAACAGTGCAACAAAATGGCTGTTTTACACTTTTTTCTAGTAAATTCCCCTCTAATATATATTCTATTCTCTTTGACTTTATGATCTAATTTGAGTCGGCACTTGCGCTTTGTTATGTTTTTGACTTCTTCTAAACTGTTGTGCCCCTCTCTCCCATCATGCTATTGAACTTCTTCTAAACTTGGTTGACCTTTCTCCCATCATATTTTTGACCTTCTTCTAAATGGGGTTGCCCTCTCTCCCATCATATTTTTGACCTTCTTCCAAACGTGATTCCCCTCGCTCCCATCATGCTTTTGACCTTCTTCTAAACGTGGCTCCCCTCTCTCCCATCATGTTTTTGACCTTCTTCTAAACGTAGTTGCCCTCTCTCCCATCATGTTTTTGACCTTCTTCTAAACGGGGCTGCCCTCTCTCCCATCATATTTTTGACCTTCTTCTAAACGGGGCTGCCCTCTCTATCATCATGTTTTTGAACTTCTGCTGAACTGAATACCCAACTTTGCCTTCAAGTTTTAGAATAAAATTAAAGAAACTACCCCCCCCCCCCACTATGTGCCTTATCAATTTGTGATAATTTTCTCTTTGAGAAGTAACATCAACTATTGTTGCATAATATTCTTTCTTTTATTTGTTAACGTTTAAAGTGAGTGTTAACGTAAACCCTTTATGCAAAGATGGCAGCGCCAGATTCACATTCTTTATTTGATAAATAATGTGGAAGATATCGTTGGTTTCTAGGTTTACAAGTGTTTAGTATTGTGGTAGAAATGCACTCATGGAATCCAGATAAAATATTTCGTCCATTTTAAGTTCCTACCTCTTTTGAAAAAAAAATTCTAATAAAATTTAGAATATGTCATTGTCAATTGTAAATTAACATTCGTCATGAATTGACGCCTATATGAGTATATGAATTCTATCCTATGCGGTTCAAAGTCAACCCCCTCCCGATTTTGACTCATATTCCTCATTTACCACTCCAGATTCCAGACTAGAGCAGTTAGAATGCCTCTAGTTCTTCTAGGTTTCCAAGTTGGCTAATTTATCAATAAAGTTTTAACTGGTTGATAATAAATAATAAATAACTTGATAAAAAGTCTAATAATAGTAAATTTTGTCTCCCTGGATAAAGTTCTAATAAACANCATGACAAATGAAAAGTTGTGCACATACGGGAAAAAAATATACAAAATCTACGAACCAAAATACGAGTAATATTTAATTGATTGTCGTAGAGACGTCGTCTTTGTAAACACATTTTACATGTTTTAATACGAAAAACGTAAATTTCTTGCTAACTCAAATATCAAAAGTTTTCAGATTTTAGTACATAATAACGAACACATAATGACATTAAAATATAATAAATTTAAATGTTATTTCAAGTTTTGAAACATTTTATAGAAATTTATTTTACTGTAACAATCGTTTCATCTATAAGATGTGTGTGTACGTTGTTCATGGTTCGCTCCCTTCTTCTCATTTCTATGAAACACAACCTATTTCAGTTCTGATTAAAAATCTTATATAATTTCTAACACATCCATGTTTCTGAATTGTTAGCCATGTTAATTTCCCTCCTGAGTCAAAATTTTAAACTAATTAAAATTCCACATAAATTTTTTTTTCTTAGTTTGTTCTTTACATTTTTTAACTCCGTGACTTTGGAATAGTCATTCTTGAATCCTAAATATATTATTCACTTACTGTTACTGATTGCTACACACTTACTTATACTGTGCACTGTGTCCTTATAGCTTTTAGCGCAAACATACGTATAGACTCATCTTGCCAGGTTACATCTATTGCATAAAACGTGCACCTGGGTCGACACTACACTCTGTAGACGTAGTCCAGACTGGACAGTACGACTGAATGCAAAAAAAAGTCTATCATTACATAGGATGTCCCGGCTCGGATGCAACCTTTACAGTGGGGTGTGTACAGGATGTACAGACCACGCGAAAAACATTTCGTTTTTAGCATGAAAATTTATATTTTAGCCTTAGTTAAACACTATTTTTATATGCTCAAAATATTCGTGTTTCGAGTTATGCTCGATCGAATATAATTTGAAACACCCTGTATGTAATTCTTGATGATTAAAATCAGTTTCTCCATAGCTTCTCATATCCGAACCATGTAGATATTAATCTCTATCCTTGTCTTTATCCGGGTTGAAGAGGACATAGATAAAACCTTTCAGTTGTATTCTGCACCTAGGGATGGAAACTTTAATAATCTTCTCAACCCTCCTCTTCTCTGCCTATTCTACAAGTACAAAAGGGTAAAACATTTTTTTATTTATTTTAAATAAAGATAATATTATTATGTAATATATTTATTCACATTTAAATCTAAATATTTAATGTAACTTTGGTTAATAGCAATCAGTTATAGTTAATATTAACGATATTCACTGCATTCATAAAACAAGTGCATTTGGTTCCTTTTTGTTAAAGAAAAAGTAAATTGTTTGGTACTTTTCAACCTAATGCAGTTTTTAACAACAAAGTTTTAGAAAGCGAAGAGAAAATTTGTGGTTGGAAATATATTCCCTTTTATAACCTTAGACACTAATTTCAAGTAACCCATCATGTCCGATTCACAACAGTACCATTAAAAGCTTTTTCTGATCAAGTATGAATTGGAAAACTAATTATTTTCAACTGTGAATTTTTCTCCAAAGTGACTTACGCATGTTATACATACATGTCAAGGATGTCAAGTATAACATTTATTATGAAATACATTCGATATAATTTTTTTCAAGTTTGCATTATTGTTTTTAAGTGATGGTTTGGTTTTGGAAGAGTTTGCTGGTAAGAGAGCGAATGAAGTAGTTCTAAAATATACTGAAAACATGGAGAATAGGAAACTAGAAACTATCGATCAGCAAACTAATGATCAGGATGATGGAAGGTATACAAGGAGGGAGGGAGGCACATCACACCATTTTTTCGTCCGACCACACCTTTGTTTTCGTTCAGCATTGTTTAAATTTTTTTTTTTAGTCTTTAATAAAATAATAATATTCGAATTTTGAGCCACGTTATTTTGTTTAAAAGGAAGATTTCAAATATTTCATCTTGTTTTTTTAAAGAAGAACATCTTTTGAAGGTACAATAGGCATTAACAGGGGCGGATACAGGATTTAAGTGATGGGGGGCAAGATTTTTTAGGAACAAAAAAAATCATAATTAGGAAGAGATACTCGCGCTGTAGGCGAAAAAATTTTTTGACTGAAAAGACTAGAGAAGAGTCAAAATTAATGAATAAAGACTAAAAAACTAGATTTTTAACTTGTCACACATTATAGTTTATTAAGACAGATATTTTTCCTGTTTTGCACTAGGGTTTCTTTCCCTTAAGCATGCTATTGAGGAGCTATTCTGAAAATAGGAACAAAAAATTCCAAATTCAGGGGGGGGCGAATGTCCCCCCGCCCCCCACCCTGTATCCGCCCCTGGGTATTAACCAATTCATGGAAAATTTAATTTTTAAATCCCTCAAGCAAATCAGAACCGATGCAGCTATGGTTCCTACTATAAACATTTATTTTTAGTTGTATATTCTCAAACACCCATTCTCAATATAATTTAAAAGTTGCAGTTTTGGTTTTGTTTTTCCAAACAAAATGCATTTTAAACAAAACCAACCCGGACAAAAAAAGTCATAACTAAAGTTCATTATAAAAAGTCAAAAATCTATCGTGTTAAAAAACAACCTAGCTCTTCTTGTTAGTCGGTTCATTAATCCGCGCTGGGTCATGTGCGAGATGTCACAATAATTTGGATTTGATCGATTCAGCCATTTTGACGTAACACACAAAACCCAAATTAGTTTAAATGTCAATTTTGTGTGAATTGACTAAAATGATTGAAATTAATTTTTCCATTTTCAAACAGGCCGAGATATCCTGTAAAGCGCAGGAGCAGAAACCAAGATGGAGTTTTCAGACGAAAAATTCTTCCTCTTCAGCTCTCCAAGCTTATGAATGTTTCTGAAACCCTGAGTATTTCAGCGCCTAAAACTGAACAATATTTAGATTTAGACAACTCCAAAAATCCTAATTCGTCAAGAAGAATTAAGAAAGTGCAAATTAAGTCCAAAAAAATCCAAACTTCACGACTACCTACACAGAAAGAACTTAAGAGGTTTAAAGCGAAATATTTCAGTCCACCAACACACTATAAAGACTTTTTTTTAAAGAAAATCTTCGAATCTCCAAAAGAATCTAAAAAAATTCCCGAAATTTTTGAAAATGGCGGATCAACAGCTGATAAAGTTCCCGAACTGGCTAAAACTATAATGGCTGCGACCACAAAACAGCTGGATTTACCAGTAAATGATGAAATTACGCTAACTCGTGATGATATTGGTTCAGATAGCTTACTAGATAGTTTAAACAGGTAAATATTCATAAAGCTAGTTTTTCTTACTTTGCCTTTTTCTATCTTTTTAAATACACAGGAATTGAGTTTTTTCCACACACTGTGATTGTGTAATCCATCTTTGCAACGCAAATTCGTAGACCTTTAATATTTCAAACTATGAATTTTTTTAGTTTAAAAAGTCTTAAGTTTATAATTTCAAAGTTTAAAGCACAAGTTTCCAAAGATATTGTGAAAATGAGTTTTCTTTTTATTTGAAAACCCCGTGAAAAATGGAAGTATCATGTGTCACATTTTTTTAATGAGCAGGCCTTGAAAAATTGGTCTTGGGACATGTAATAGCCCAACCGCGGGTTTAAAAGGAAATCCCAACCTGATGAGAAATATTGGCTGTGATATTCTCACTTCTCTTCTTGTTGCATGCATCCAATTAAAACATTTGAAAATTTGCCTCAAACCCTTACCTTGTAACCATAATATCGTCATATATAAAATTCCAAACTATGAATTATGTTAGATTAAATAGTCAAAGTTTGAAATATCCACACGTAAAGAGATTAGAAGACTTTAGTTTTTTCTTATTTAGAATTCAATATTAGACAAAAAATAACGTATTTTTAGATCTATGTTGTTGAAGAATGGTGGAAGGGATAGGAGTAGTCGATTTCTTAGTTTGTTTACAGTTATCAGGTAAAAGATAGGGCTGGGTAGAATTAGGGAGCAGTTTTGAGAAACGTTTAAATATTGGAGGTATTTAGATTCATTATATTTAAATGTATTTAAATATTAAAAAATATTCAAATAGAACTTTTCGTATTTTAAAATCGCATTTTGATATTATTTTTGAATGCAGAAAATAAAGCGAATACGAAAAATTCCATTTTTTCATTTTGCTTAATCGTAATTAACATTTTATATTAAATATGATTGTTTTATTAAAATTATTCTTTAAATTACTTTTTTATAAATTCAACATTTAGAGAAGACTTCAGCTAGGAAACTTTATGAAAATACTTTTCAAATGTTTAACCCATTTCCAATTTTAATCCTCCTACGGGCTACAATCAAAAGTAAATGTTAAAGAAAATAAGGTAATCATCATTTATGCGTCAACATTTGTTTAGGTTACTCAACTACATCAATCGGATCGAAAATGTTGGAAAACATCAATTTTTATTTTGCACATGACACTTTTGCTTTCAGAAATGATATATCTTAAAATTACAATTACAAAAAACTGGCCGCGGAAAAACCTCCCTGAAAGCCTGGTCTATAAATGTTAATTATAAATCAAACATAATTAGTTATTATTGCAAAATCTATTTAAATATGCAAATTAAAAAGTTTATACTCAACAAAAACAAAAACAAAGGTCATGTTATAATGTAAACTTTTTGTTTAATTATCTACTAGCAGTTTGAATTGTTATTATAGCATTCAAATCCTTTGTTTATTTGCAAACATATTTAAACATATTTACAAGCGACCCTCTGTCTATATAGAGTGTAGTCAACGAGGTTATAGTGTCTAGAGTGATGATGTACGCTAATCCTGTACTAATTGTATAGGCCATGAACTATACCGAGGGCATACTGCATATTTGTTTATTATAAGTAGATTCTGGCCTAACCTATATTATATCATGATAAGTAAACAGTTGTAAGTGTACAGTACAGCTAACTGAGCACACAGGTAGGAAACAATATCATCCCCCCTAAGTGTAGTGCACCGATAAAAAAAAAAACAGTAGTGCACCGATTATAATCACTACCCGTTCTGCCTTCGACTGACATGCTTATCCTTATTTCTTTAACAGAAACGCTTGTAATTGTTTTATTTTAAAATTATTTTCATTTAAAAAATATAAATATTTAGTTACCAGTGGTTGCATAATATACAATTCTTCTTTTGAATTTTCAAACCCCAAGTCCGACAAATTCTAGATGTGTGAGAAATATAAGTTGTGTTTACACTTTACGCTTCATAGTGTCCAGTTGTTCGGCAATTTGAACACTATTTTAGAGACAAACACACAGAGTTCTCGGAAGTCAATGATCAGTCAAAGGTTAAAAGCTTACCATTGAAAATTTTGCAGGAAACTTGAAATTAAGCTAAAGTCCCAAGTTAGCCTTTTTTTTGCTTTGTTTTTGTAAAAATAATAAAATTATTCATCTAAAAGCTTAAAAATTATATTTCATATTATGCCAATTTTTTAGACATCAGATCAGATAATGTGAAATATAACAAAATCTGTATTGTAATTTTGGATATCGAAAGTCGTCTTCTACTGTATTAATATATCCGCCTCACACTGTATACAATATTTAAGGTTTAAAAATGAGATATGTTTGACCTCCGAGGCTACAAATGGAACCTGTTATACACAAACTGATTGTGAGGAAAAGGGCGGCGAACCCCAGGTAATAATACTAAATGTACTCTTACAGGTTTTCATGCAGTACTACATGGGCGTAACTAAGGGGCCCTCCTCTATCTCCAGGGGCGTAACTAGCGGGCCCTCCTCTATCTTTAGGGGCCTAACTAGGGGGTCCTCCTCTATCTTCAGGGTGTTAACTAGGGGGTCATCTTCTATCTCCAGGAGTAAAATGGCGTCACACACCACCTTTATAGATATTTTTTAAAAGAGACACAAAAAGATTTTTAAAGATAGTCAAATTGCGATGATTTCTTTTTGCTTAATGGAATTTGAGAATTTTTTTTAATACGACAAAAAATATTCTAGATACTCTTCACATAGCTTTGTTATTGGGGGCATAAATCTTGAGATAAAATCTTTAATTGTTCTTCATAATGAAAAGAAAATTATACTTTTCTTTGCAACTTGATTGAGGACATTTTTGATATGTGATTTAATAAAATTTGTATTTTGAAATATCAAACGTCTACTATACCAGATGGTTGCAAGGCCCATGTAAAAAGTACCAATCTAAAAATCAACTATCTCTATAAATTCTATTTCAATTGTGAAAATTTTCACAATTTCACAGTAACAAAAAAATTCGCGGATTTTAAAAAAAGAAAATTTTTTTTGTGGATTTTCAAAATTCAAATTGCAATGAATTTTGTTGGAGGCTAATTTTTGAAATTTTGATCATCCATAAGCCTTCCCTAGGGTCATTTGTGGTCCCACACACAATTTTAGCCCGATCGGTTTTGACGTGGTATTGGAAAAAAGCAGACACCCAGACAAGCATAGTATATATAATAAATA